GAATATTGGAGAACTCGTGGTTGTGCAGTTTTGTTTGGACATGGTGAACAGTGTTGTAGTTGTCATCAGTATTCACAGAAATCTGAACTCAGTCACAAGGCAAAACAAAAGAAACTAGCTGAGCCAGCACATCTATTTTCACCCGTCTCACAGACCGCACCAGAGCGAATTAAGCTCACACTGCAGATGCAGAGATTCAAATGTGCTGAACTATGTTTGCACATTCCAATTAGTAAACTTGCAATGCTTTTTGCATGACACTGAAAGCCTCTCAAACTACTACAGGCCAACAAGTAAATGTGATGAATTGCAAAGCTGTTCATGAGGATCGTATTTCATCGTTAATGAAAATAATGTTTGACTGTGAGTCGGTGGGACGGGCCGATTCGAAGAAGAATGATGCAAGAAAAACTTATTTAAATTTAGCTATTTTAATAGAATCGTAGATATGGGGACTTCTCTACCCTTATCGGTTCGACAGGTTACTGCTATTGCCAATGTTAAGAAAGGTTTGAGAGAGTCTGATTTAGTTTTTAGGGATGTGTCCATGTTGTTCATGTTTTTTTATAGGCTTTTTTTTATTTCGAAATATTTAGGTCGTCTATCTTGTATGGGGTCCCATGACTCTTTTACAGACCTTTAATTAATGGTTTCTTTTTCTCCCGATATCAATATTTATATACCTGTACATGTGTTTTACATATTTTGCTATTTTTCTGTCGCTTTTAGAACAAGGAAATTTGGCAAAAGGTATAGAAACAAAGTGATTCCAGGCCTGTAGTCTTCCGGTCATTATTATTACGCTGCTGTTTTACATTTCTCTAAGACTACGATTATTATATGAAAACTGAACTGCATATCGGCCATTCTAATAGCTGATTGCTTATACGTAAAAGGTAAGGCATTAAGGGCTTGATATTTCACTTTGCTCAGACTTCATTTCCATCAGTATGTAGGCGCCAGAACCTGAAGAAAATAAACATCAGACATTAGAATTCAGATGCTGATTATTTTTTGTTTTGATTTATTACGTTGTACATGTTTTCACATTATTGTTTTATCGAGTTTATAGATTTTGTAGTACGAAAATATTACTGCCATAATGCTCAAGCCCGCAACATCGAATGAGTAACCTATAATAATTACCCACAAATGTGGATGGGAAAGTGTGAAAAATCGTGCATTTTGATCTGAAATAGCCAGATAACGCGCACTTGAAGAGCTTTGAGAATCGTGCGGCATAGCAACACCCAACATTCTTAACCTTATTCTCCCTCCCCCCTGATTTAATATACGATTGTACTGCAATTTGGCATTTTTGAAGTCATTTAAACACTAAAGACGCGACCTGGTTTATTCATTTGTTCGCTCGTTCTTTCACTCACTCGTACCAGTGTTCAATCAGATAAGGTTGTTTTCTGAAGGTGGTTGTTATGTTACTCCAGAGTTGGCCGATAAAGGACGGTTTTCCCATCAAGTAAGCCTTGCTTCACTTTATTATACAAGAAACTTGCTTACCAAACCTTCCCAGCACCACCACCAACCATCATCATCATCACCATCACTTTCGCCCCCCCCCCCCGGTTGGCGACTAAAAAAATAAAGAAAATACAACATACAGCTTAGCTAAGAAAACAAGACGTAAATGGTACGCGTTGAATTTGAACATATTTGAACAGTCATAAAACAAGTAATGTACCCTTCAGGATCTGGATCCACACTGCCGCTGCCATCATCGTCATCGTCATTGTCACCGCCATCGTCCATGTTACCGCCATCACCTCCTGGGCCTGTAATTAAATATAATAACGATAGATTGAAAAACAAAATATTTTTGTAGGGATCAGAAAAATGAGAGAATGATGTTCACGGCATGTAATGGCAACAAAGTTAATTAAAAGCTGCGTCTTATCATGCTTATTAAAATTAGATAATAAAAAAAAAAATTAACCGTGCCGTTTTTTAATTATAAGACCCTAAAGCTGTATTAAGGTTGTTTCTAGCAGGTCATACTATTGCTATGGCAACCTATTGCAGCACAAAAATGATAACATCGTGTTCACCAATGATTGGGAAGTTTTTTGATACCATGATTGTAGCCTTAAATGATAAAGAGTGGTTATAACGACCCATCAAAATATAAACGCTGGAATCTGTTTTGAGCCACTTTCAGGTTGACTTATTGGCATTGGCTAAGTCTATATATATTAGATTTTCCTTTCAAGGTGAGTGTCATGTTATTCAAGACTACTGTTCCATTGTGTAAAAGGGACGGTTTTGTATTTAATAAACTATTCTCGTTCTTACTTTCCCTAATGAGACTTACCAAAGGTAGGACCACCACCGGGGCCGCCATCTCCTCCGCCTCCACCACCCCCTCCGCCACCTTGGACACCACCAGCACCTCCATCACTGCCGCCGTCACCGCCAGCCGCAGAACTTAGCGCTAAAGATAAAGACGACACAATAGGGAAAGCCCTGATCAAGAGCAGAGATTATATCGTCTAGCACGACATTGAGAGTAACCCAATTAATCTAGGATTAGTTTACACAAATCCTAACAGAAACTATTGCCGATCTTGTAATGTTTCATAATAGTGGCTTTTTTCGGCATCGAGAACCGATTGATTCAGTTGACGATATTGCTTCTGCGTTGCATGGTAGAAAACACCCAGCAACTGTCTGAATAACCACTTTCCGTCTTGAGAAACGAAATGACTTTGAACAGAACTTTTTACAAGAGTTTTATTTTACTTGGCAATTTTCCATCCGATTTAATATATAATCTGAAAAGCGAGGCCAGGACTTTCAAATTTTCCTGGCGATCCCGCAATGGCAATCTCAATATGCATAGGGGCCTTGATCCAATTCTCCTTGAGCGACTTTCTCATGGCATATATACTAAAATAAACCAGTGCGATTGCCGTTCTGTTTGAAATTGAATGAAAAGAGTTTTCGTGCTTGCAAAGAAAATACTTAGAACAACCTTTTCTCACTGGAGATTTTTTGCTTAAATCTAAACGACAAAATTTGTTTCGATCAGTTATTGTTCTCATGTATTTCTCAGTAGACTGCCAGAAGGGACAAATATAAAAAATATCCTGTCGTTCCTTGCCATACACTTGATTTAGTTCGACCAGTGTCTTCTAAATCAAGGTGTGTAAGCAAAAGACCATTACTATAAGATTTGCTGACGAAATTTTCTAAGACTGATGCGTTTCTGGCAGTCGTCTGAAACGATCCAAGGTACAGTTAACTAACCTTTCTGACATTGGATGACTCCCATCACTATAGCAAGAACAAGCCAAAATTTCATGTCGAGCGCTGTTTACTTCCTTGTTAGCCAAAACCCGCGTAAAGACTTGGAGCACTGAAAAGTGTGGTAAGGCAAAGTGGATGTTGTGAATTTAAATGGTTTCTCAGCCAGTTATATCGGTGTTTTGAGTGGAATGTTCGTTATTTATAAGCTGTTTCCGAGATACCGATGCAAACATACTCACCCACCATATGTAAACTTGGAAACTTACTAAGTGATTTTTATCTCTGAAACAATACACGTCAAAATGGTCAGCAAGCGATATCTGTTGTTTTATAGAGTATAAATCACTCAAATTCAAAATGAAAATATCACCTCCATGTATTATGTAATACATCAAACACAAAAGACCTTGTTTTACTGCATTTCCAAACAGTGAGAAGAGAGTCTAAAATACCACGCGCAGCGGAATATTTATGGCGAACTTCGAGGTGTCTGGAAATGTAGTTACACACGGTCTTCAGTGTTTCATATATTTTCTCAATCGAAACTTACA